GGCTGTGCATCCAACTTAAAAGTTAATTTTATAGATTTCTATGAACCTATTTTTAAAATATCCCTTCCTGCAAAATGTATATCTTCATTCTAAATATTTTAAGAAGAAGCTGCAGAAGCAGGGGTTTTAGACATACCACCTATGGAAGCCCCACGGATTGTAGCTCTCTCTTCCTTAAGTTATCACAGTCATCTCAGAGCGGGGTATTCACTTACTGTCACTGCTGTCAAGTGCCACAAATATGGGACATCTTTTCATTACACATTCTATGCATTTCAAAATTATTAGTAAAATTATCCCACATTCATTCTTCTTTGTATCCTTATAGTCTCTTATATTTCTTTGTTTTACTAACGGGCTAAATTAATTCATCATACAATTACATGCTAACATAAAATCTGTGATCCTTAAACATAGAAAAATACTATCTGAAACATTTGGGGAAGGTGAATATTTTCTAGTTATTAAAGATACATTGGAATAATTTGGCCCTACCTATTATGCTACTTGATCTTTTGAGCCTTAAATCGATTCTTTCATTTAAAAGTCACATGGCATGTAAAGTGACCCAGAATTTGTTAGATGACATAAAAAATGGTAGTAGATTCAAGTGAAGGCAATAACATGAATGTCTAACTCCCTTAAGTAATGAAAACAAAATTCTTTTAAACAAGGAGCACGAACACATTAAGATGGAAGAAATAGGGGCTTACTTTCAAACTCTACCTCCATTGTTCACTTGGACAGTGCCAATTGCTTTGTCTAAACAACATGCATTTAACTTGTTTTGTGTTAGATCTAAAGCAAATGCAACACTATTAGATACTATGTCTACCAATCTGTGTAGTATTTGTGACTCAATCTGCTGTGCACACTCGGAAAAGGGCAGGAAATTCTTTTGGAGCACTTCTGCATAATGACGATGCTTGATGGGGAGAAAAATGCTAGGATATTCTCATGGGGTAAGCTATTTCCATTTTACACTGAAAGATGCTTCTCCTGGGGTATTACAGATATTTGGAATGTAAATGTTCTATAATGATACTGTTTATCATGATGGTCACAAACCACATCTGTTAAGTTGAAACTCTGCTCTTTAGTCTACAAGCCACATTCTACAGCTCATCAGACATGCAAGGCAAGTGGCTATTACTGGGCAATGCAAAGACCATTTCCATTACCACAGAAAAAGCTGTTGGAAGGCACTACACTAAAAGGCAATGTAGTGCCACCCTAGCAGGTAGTTGTGGAGTTTCTTGCCTTGCCTATGTACTAAAAAGAAAAGCTCAAAGTTATTACTCAAATGGGATCACAGTTTTCACCCACAGGCTGTGGGCAGCCAAGTGTGCAGTGTACACACACTCATTAACACACATACATATGCACATACACACCTGCCTATAACCATCCCATCCAAATGATTTTGTGATTTGGAAACTATGTATAAAAATCAAGCAAATTTGAAATGAGGTGTTTATTTTTATGTTATCAAATTGGCTAAAAAAAACTGAAAAATAGTTTCCTGTGCTGTGGAGGTAAATAGGTATCATATTTTGAAGGACAAATGGCTAATATTTACTAAAAATTTAAATGTCCACATTCTTTAAATATAAGAATTCTATTTCAATTAACTTATCAAAAATGATCAGATGGAGCTACATATATATAAACTTCCTTTCTTTTTTAAAAATAAAACGTGCTATGCTATGTTTTAAAGGTATTTCCTTTAAAAATTTAAAAGTAGTTTTCAAAAAGAGATGTGATTTTCTGTTTTTTTTTTTTTCTGGAAAGTTTATGCTCATGTCAGAAAAATACAATTCAAATAAAAGGCTGGGGATATAACTTGGCAGCACAATGCCTGCCTGGCAAGCGCAAGGTCCTGAGTTTTATTCCCAGTATCAAAAAAAAAACCCATTCAAATAAGACAAAACAGAAACTTCAGTTTCACACTGACCTAAATAATAAGACTCTTCTTTAGGAATTAAAAATGGAACTAGATTTTTAAAAGCAATATGAATGTTACATTTGACAAAATTTTCAATACGGAATGGCGGAAAATTACATAATTTGCATTACTGGGGAACTGATTAAAACAAATTATGCTAACCCTTTTAAATTGTGAAAAATATTTAAAAAAGACTTCTAGAGTATTGTTGGCTGCAAAAAATTATCTATATCCAGTGATACAGCAATACAGATACAAATACAAATTGATGCACCTGTAATACACAAGCACAGGGGTAAGTCTTAAGAATATTTGCCTACCATGTGGCAGTTTCTGGGAATTTTGTTTTACTTGTTCTTTTTTACATTATTTGAAATTTTTATATTAATTTTAAAAAAATATTAACTCTCTTAAGAGTTTTCAGTAACAAATGTGTGAGACTGGACATCATGCAGACTCTCTCAAAGCAAAAGCTAATCAGATACTCATAGCTTCTCTTCAATAATAAACTGCTGTGTCTTTAAAGTTTATATTTTAGAAAGGAAGATATTACAAAGTATTTCATTCTCAAAGTATTTCAGAAATATTCATGCATATGAGATGAACCTTCTTGAGTTCAATCAAATCTGGGAACAACAATGGGACAAAACCATTCTCAGTGACCCTTTTCAAAACTGCATGAGAAAAGCAGTTGTATGAACACAAGTTTTCTGATGATTACAAATATTAGAAAAGTACTTACTTTAAATTTTAGATAGTAGTGATTAAATTCCATTTCCTACTTCTACTTGTATTGCAATTTAGTTCTGGCATCTTATCCTCAAAATTTCTTATTAGTATAAAAAGAGAAAATTTTCTGACTTGGAACTGTACTTCTTGAGCTTTAATCTTATATAGTCAAAGTTCTCCTAGCTGAAGAAAATTTAAATCTGGTCAGTCATGCTTTTGTTAGGTTACTAAATTGAATAATAATTAATTGAATTTTTGGCACCTTAAAAAAAGTCAAATCAACCAAAAACTTAGATATTTAGAATTCCGTTAGAATTTCAAGGTCATTATTACTTTTTCTCCAATGAAAGAAATTATTAGCACTTATCTTTCTCCTGTACATAACTGTCAGAATAAAATAATAGATTCTCACAGACAGCTTTTTCTTTGGAAATTTTAAAACTCAAGGTCAAACTGCTCACATTCAACTTCCAAAACAGGCTTTTAAGTCTTACTGCAGAATAGTTCATAGGCTATAAAGTAAATGAATAATTCAAGAATCTGTGTAGACTTGCAGCGTCATTTCAGTAAGCACAACTGGACTCTTAAATCATAAAAATATCTAGAACTTAAAAAGGCAAAAAGCAAGCCTAGAGAGAAAAGAACAGGATAGGGTGAGCATGTTTCTGTGTTAGCCAACAACATTGTGAATTTTTCTTGTTTCATTTCATCAGAAAATAGCAAATACATATAGAAAATGAAATCAGACTTGATAGTGAATTCTGGATGTATAACATACATGTACATACTCTTAATAACATAAAATATCTACAGTAAAATTTAACTCCTCAAAAATTCGTATTTTTACTTAAATTCTTCACTATGACAATAAGAGCTAGACATTAAATTATGAAAAAGCTATGGTTATAAAGACACAAGAATACCTGGAACTAGCGTTCTGAATTCCTACATCTGTTCTGATTCTCGGTTTGACCAATGCCACTGCACCTTTTTTATGGTCTTGTATTTTTTACCTCAGTACTCTTATTTTTGAAATCTTATAAAGTATTAGCTTTAACGTGAAAACAGGAGACACGTATTTGCTTTTAAAATGTATACTCTAAATCAGTAAGTACAAATATTAATTCAGCTCCTTTGCTCAAAATGTGACTACTCAGACCACTGCTTACATTCATTTTGCAGACCTCAAAGACGTCTACATTTTGAAATTTGATACTGATATACTACTGAGACTTATAAATTTGTCATTAGTTTATCATTATCATATAGATTGGAAATTTACCATTATTTACCTTGCATTTAGGTGTCTAACTGATATGTCACCATTTAACATTTTTTTGTGTTATCTCCACTGTCTTGGTCTGCCTATTAACTATGTACAGTAGTGCTGGTAAGATTAAGTAGACTTATGTAACATGTAACATAAAACCAGTTAATAACAAATTTGTTCATCAAGCTGGCAGGAAATTTTTGACTAACTATAAAGGGAAAAGTTGCAAAAACAAAACTTTTTAGAAGATGAACATTTAAATTACTGAAATATTATAAAACATATTCACAAATTGAAATCATGAGTAGCCTGCACAATTTGCATGGTTCCAAATAAGTATTTTAATAATAGCAAATACAAAATAATAGAGGTTTCAACCAACTCTGTACTCATCTCCATCAATGTCAAATTTAATGTAGTATTTCATCAACACACATCACTCATAAGCACAGACATACTACATTCTACAGCCAACAATCAGCATGTATACTCTTCAGTGAGGAAAAAGAATGGAAATAATTGTGGAAAGTATCTATTTTTCCTATCAGGTAATTCACTTGAGTTTAAATAAAGGAATTAGACTTCTTCCCATCCCTCTACCCACCAAATACAATGTAAGCAAAAATTAAGGTAACATCACATGGATATAAAACGGGAAGCAGATAATGAATGTGACCAACAATGTGCCTTTTACTAGTGTGCTAAGTAGCATAAACTGTGCAGTTCATTAGAAAATAATTAGTGAACAAAGCTTAATATGGTATAGTGCTTCATATTCCATTAAAGTCACCACATAATCTAGAGATAGGTATACAGGAAGAGAGTATACTTTTATGTAATTAAAACTTTCTAAAATCCACACCCTGAAATATGATAGATGTTCTGTGATGCCCATTTTACGAGTGCCGTGTTAACGTATCATCATTTCAGTAGATTACCCCCACCCTCCAGTGCTTTATCCATTCACCTGGCAAGACCACCTGGAATACCTTTGTGAAGCTATTATTCATTTATTTCCACCCTTTGACCAGCACATGAAAGCTCATAGGTACTCACCCTGCAAACTGGGCACTGCCAGTGACTACTGCTGTCTCTAAGCCTGAACTCATCAGACAAACACTTGGAATGATACACACGAAAACACAGGTCACATATCAACACCTCTCCAGGCAAATGGCATTCAAAACAATACCAGTCATGATTTTCTGTTTCCCAGTCCTACAAAAAATACAAAATAATTTCGTATGACATTTTGTCAATATCTGCAATGTCTAAGAACAAAATCGACACTAAACTCCATCAGAAATTAGGCATTATAAACAGTTTTTGACATTTACTGTGATAAAACAAGAGGGAAAATACCTAGAAATTTACCTCTTTAAATTTTAAATTCTTCCCTAAACAGTATGAACACTCAGAAGTGCCTTAAGGTGATCTGATAGCAAACCAGTCCAAAATGAAACATATTCAAAGCCATTCCCAGTTCTGTAGTATTATCTTTCATTTTTAAAATATAATCTAAGGATTCCTTTTCCGTTATTGAGTACCCCAAACCAATGTGTAACTTCAAATAAATAAACCTCCGCTTTGTTTTATTTTTTAAATTTTATATAATATACAGAAGTACTTTACACACTGTGGGAGCAGAATAGCAACACGTGATGATGCTTTTTATTCTTTATCTTTGAATTTGGAGAAGTAAACTGAACATGTGAAACTAAAAGGTTTAATCATATTGTCCAAAGGAGAATACCATAGAAAAGAAAAAGGAGGTAGGCTCATTTCCTGATGTGGGTATTCTAGAAATAAATGAATATGACTGCAGGAACACAGGCATTCCTTAACCTTCTTTTATAGATGTTTTAACCAAATGAACAAAAGGAAAACCTACAGTTAGCATAATCAAGCCCACTTCTAGTCAGAACCTTAATATTCCACATTTGGGCTTCATTTTATCTTTTGATAAGTCATTATCTACACTGTTTCCAAAGTTGAGCAGTTTTTTTTCTCATTTTCTTGAATGTCACTACTCTCAATAAAATGGCTTCTATATCTCACTGATTTCTTTAGAAACTAAGTTCAAGTGTTCTGCCTGACCATATTTGAGCGTTACTATCCAGTCTTTCAAAGGAAAAAAAAAAAAAAAGGTAGAGAATCACTAATGTTACAGTGTCATCACTAGGGTACACTAGTAAAATCTGCATAAATGTAAACTTTTTGGTTTGTTTAACAAATTGCTTTTCACTGACCAAAACAGTGAAAATGTATAAGCACTTTTTTTAGTTATTTGCTGCAATATGTACATGCTTTGTGAAATAACTTCAGTGGGACTACAATCATAAAATATTGAATATGAAAAATTCTGTGCATGGTAGAAAACAAGCTACTACATCCACAAAGTTTGACCCAGTGGTAACACATCAATGTAACAGATGTGTGTGATGCTTAACTATATTAAAACAAAACTCATTAGTGTAATCTATTTTATATATCTCATTTGCATGCTGCAATTTGGATACTCTAATTGATGCATCAAAAATTTTCCAACATAAATTAAGTTTCAGTGGAGATAAGACACCTTGTTCTTTTTTTTTTTTTGGTACCAGGGATCAAACTCATGACCTCATGCTTGCCCAGCAGGCACTTATGCCACTGAACTAAACCCCCAGCCCACCTTGTTCTATTTTGAATTAACAGAATTCTTTCCAAAACAAAAGAATTTCAGAATATTTTCCCTGTAGCTATTTACAAACATGCTAAAGGATGTTGCTGGCTTATATCAGAAACTGGTTTAATCATCTGAACTTCTTTATATTGCCCCATCCTCAAGTGATGGTCAAGATGGTAAATATTACTTGAATTAACAATGGAAGGAAGAGCATAGCCCTGGCCTCCTCACAATAGCTCCCGCTTCCTTTCATTCCTTCCCTGCACTATCCAACTATGAAATGAAGATAGCATGAACCTGTCTTTGAGACTTAGTTTTTCATAAAAGTACTATTTTAATAAAATAAAATTAGAGGAACACTTGATTATATGTTAATTAACTCTGTTCCAAAGAAAGTATGTGCTGGGCAAGGCAATGCTGTTCATTCTTTTAATCATGGCAGTAGCTGTTGAGAATATTTAAAACATGCGAAGTCAGATTCAAGATTTATTACATTCTGAATCCAGGAAAATTTTTCTGAGGTAAAGCGATATATGTGTGTTTGTTATAAGCCAAGGAGCCTACAATTTGTCTTTTAATAAACACAAATCATTTTGACTAACATTCAATTGTATGTGACAATACACTAAGCTTGCATTTTCATTGGATTCCACCAGATGTCATCAGCTACTCTAGATACAGCCTCATTATAAGAGTATATGTGAGGTACTGCTTCAGAACAAGAAAGCTTTAAAAAGGCAAACCTACTAGCACAATATTCAAAACTAGAAGCAATGTAAAGACAGTATGATTTTAACAAGCTAGTCTAGCAAGAGTTAACTAAGCTAACCTAAATTGAAGTAGAAATGTATTACCAAAAAAAAAAAAAAAAAAAAAAAAAAAAAAGAAGTAGAATTAAAGTAAAGTAACAGTGCAAAATTAGTTCACCTTGTTTGAGGTTGCTGTCCTGGAGAAAGGCTGCATACTGTAGGCCTTTCAAAATAAAAACAAAATAATCTTGGTCTCTCTACTACAATTTTGCTCAATATCAGGTAATACACAGGGCTAAAGTGATTTCATACATTGTTAAACTATTGCTTTATACTTTATACTATTTTTCAGATAATATTAACTGATTACCAATGTGCTAATCATTAATGAAAAGACAGCATGCAAAATTAATAGTCATTATTAGTTGTAGAGGAAACTTTTTACACTAACACAGAAGCTACAAATGGACATAGAGTACATCTTTCTTTGGGAATTCATGTGCCATGAAACCTACCATGATGATTGAAAAATATTTAATTCACCACATATTAATGCCACCACATATCTGTATAATACCATGAATGGATGTCTTACTGATCTAAAAGAGATTTATATTACTTTTTTCTTCTAAATTAGAACAATGAATGTGAATGTGGTGAACTCAATACCTCGCCATAGTATGAAATTTATACAGGCTGTCCTCAGAACCTAGTAGGAAAAGTTCCACCATCTAGCAGCAGCCTATTGATCTAAGTTTCTATCACCACATAGCATTTGATTAAGATTCTAGAGTCAGACTGGTTCAAATCCTGGCCCCGGCACTCACGGCTGTGTAATGTTGGGCAGAATGCTTAGTTAGCTCCTCTGTCATTTTCTATCTGTAAAATGAACAGTGATAGTACCTAGGTTATAGAGTTTTTGTAAGAATCAAATGAGTTCATATGTATATGATACTTTTAGAAGAGCGTGCAGCACTCAGGAAACAATGTTTTTATCTATTTAGTGCACAAAACAGGAACTAAGCCACAAAATGAATGACATGCTTACAATTACAGATATGTGCACATTTCTTTTCCAAGCACTTTAAATTCGTTAGTCTATCTGATTTTCACATTTCTGTAAGATAAGTAGAACAAGGAATATTATTAACCACAATTTAGGTCATAAAAATAAAGCGCAGAAAGCTGTTCAGCTATGTAACAAGGGAGGTGCATGAAGAACTGCTGGAATAAGAAATTCCATATTATAAACCTCTTCAGTAATTCAAAAGAAATTTTAACCTTTAAAATAATTTCCTATTTCTATTTAATGAGCAGATAAACATTTTACTGCCAAGTATGAGTACATGATATACTTTAATGTAGATATAATATAAAATTAATTCTCTACAATTCTAAATTTAATTTTATTAGAAAACTTAGTTATTCATTTAAAGGTGATAATTTTGTCACAGATTTCTGATAATTTTAAATGTAATTTTTAAAGTAAAAATATTACACCTCAGCAACAGAGAAGTCAGACACAAGGACAACGAACAACAATGAAAAAGAACTCATACGTACACTCAATCAACCAATCAAAACAAGCTGAAAAAACTATATGGGATAGAATGACCCAAAATTATACTTTTGAGTAAAATGGAAATTTTTTACTAAAGCAAGAATGATTTCTGAGGGCAGAGGATATAGCTTAGCAGCACAGAGCCTGCTTGGCAAAAGCAAAGTCCTGAGTTCAATTCCCATCACCAAAAACAAATCAACAAAAAGAATGATGCCTGAGTGTAACTATATTTGTGTTTAAATTCACACAGAATTATAGCATAATTGGTTTACAATTAATTCATGATTAACAATGCTTAATACTTTACTTAGAAAGTAAATATTTATATAACTATGATTGGGAATGGACATGTGTAAAGACTGTAGAGTTCTATATATAATTAACACAAAGCAGGTAATATATTTCACATTTAAAAATCAACAGCATTCAAAGGCATCAAATTCTGCACGTAAGGTAAAACATATGACACAGCATTGATGACAAATATGACAAGGCAAAAACTGAAACAGTTTTTAAAAAATTCTTACTTTATCATGCCATATTTTATGAAAAAGGGCTAGCATCATTTACTTTGAATTTAGCAGGCCTCAACTAACGTTTTTCTTAAGAACAAAGCATGGGAGCCACTTTTTTCCATGGCTTCCTTTGATGTTACTTCAAAAAATAAGCCCATAAATTGCAATCCTATCTCTTATCTAAAAGATGTGAGCTTAGGTAAATTTCCAAAGAAATACACACCAAGATTTCTTTGAGAGTGGCCATTTTAAGTTAATAGTAAATGCAAAAAAAGTATCTAGTCCTCCTTTAAATTAGGATTGAAGCCCATTTATCTATTGTATAATTTGTTGTTCTCCTTGAGAAATCACAAAATATATATTATTAATTATCCCTTTAAAATATTTAAAACTTTAAAAAAATCAGGAAAAGCAAAAATACTGAATATTACCCTTTCGCTTGAAAACGTATCTCTCAAGACTATGAGCAGTATGAGATTATGTTTAGTCAGTACAAACTTTTCTCATACTTGTGAAAATACTCAAATTAAAGCAAGACATATGGCTAGGGCCTAAATTCATGTTTGCAATTACTTTTTATTCATAAGCAGCAAAACATACTGGTAGGAGTCTAGCCAAAAATGTAAGCTGTGGTCCCTAAACTGATGCATAAGAAATGAGGCCCTGAGTCTAAAATTTGGCAGGCATGTAAAGACAGAAGTTATTTTATAAGCAACATCTTTTTAAAAATTTTTAATCATTCTCAACATTGGTGACAAAATTATTTAATGTCAGAAAAAAAGTCACCTGTCAAATAATAGTATAGCTTTGTGCAAAGGACCATAAATCAGAAGTCACCAAATAAATAATATTAACTGCTTCAGTTTCAAAATGCATACTTGACTTGTTTTTCTGCAAATGACCCATAACTCAAGGTTACCTGCATTCTTATATTACATTAAATAGTTTAGTAGGACCTTCAGATCTTCAGTGAGCACCTTGTGTTAAAAGGTTAACTTATAAACATTAACTAATACTTGAAACAAAAACAGTTAATCAATTACAAACTTCACTCTAACCAATGGCAAGATTCTATCTAAGAAATGTATTTTAAATTGTAAACATATAGCAGGTGAAACACTGTGAAAAAATATGGATTAAATGTAGCCATTCATGTATATTTCTTCAGATCAAGTAGCAATGAAGCCATTTATAAACCTCTGAGAACATGCAGCATTTCTTAAAAAAAAAAAAAAAAAGAAAAAAGTCTTGATAAAATATTGAAGAGTCAGACATCACAAAGTTCCTTCTATGCCCCAATTTACTGGCCTTTTAATAGTATAATGTCAAAAGCTATGAAAACTACCTTTTAAGTGAATTATTTAGACCTGTGAGTGAATGTTAATGATATACCAGTGTGGAAGTTTGAGGTTACAATAAAAAGTTTACAAGGGTATTTCTTAAGCTCAGCAAGTTAGCCTTTAATAATCGAGCTGGTACCTACACCTTTGTTTATTGACTAAAAGTTAAATAAAGCAGTGAAAATGGGAATAGCCCCATTTTTAATGATTATCTTTTCATTCTACCATCTCAAATTAAAGTCACTATGAATATGCTTACATCCCTTGCTAATTTTATACTAGTTTTTGCAAATGAATTATCACTTACATTGAGGACTGTAAATGGTGTTGAGATCAGCTTCATAAAATGTCTAAAAAGTCATTTCCTTCTAGTAGGAAGTATTTCAGCACTATGGGAATCTCTCTTGATTTATAATGCACAGGATTAATATACATGCTTCATCAGAGACAATATACAATATGTACATATTATATCCTCTCATAGTTAAGTTTTTACTTTAAATGATTGCTGGAAGTAATCAAAATAATATTCAAGATATGCTTGTTTTTCAATTGTTTCAAATTTTTAAAAAATGAAGCACTAGAAAAAAGGCAGCAGAGAAGGTATAAAAAGTTAACACAAATAAATTCTTTCACTTTTGAGTTCCAGTAACTTTAGTCATGTAGCAGAGAGAAAATTATATGCTTGTCTTTGCAGATAAATAGAAGCCAGTATCTCCTAATCATAGTATCTCCTAATCAAAGTATCATAGGAATATGACTAAGGTGACTTACCAAGACAAACTTTCTTTCCCATCTGATTTTTACTATTACTATTTTTTATAGGAAACAGAAGGAAAATAAGAGGAGCATTGCACTTTGAATTGGTTTAAGAATAACTAAAACATTGCCTATCTTCTTTTCCTGAGTCACTTAGGTTGACTTGACTTTTTCTTTCAGTTAGAAAGTCAACAAGATGAAAAATAATGCATCTTTAAATTTAAAAACAAGTTTTTAGAGCTATCAAAATGATTCATACTATACACACAATAGTAAACTGTAACAGAGGGTCCCATAGCCAAATGCTATCATGTCATAACAGTTTCTAGCCCACAGAATGTCTTTGTGCAAATCAGAGAAGGTGACCCCTCCCTAGTATCTACTCTTGTCAAATACTCACTTTATTAAAGAAGAACATTATAAGACATGTGACTGGCAATGTCTATGATGTGTCATGTGTCTATGATGTGAGTGGTGGTTCGCAACATAGGTCCAGCCTTCACGCACGGGCAACACATTGAATACACTGCACCAAGCTGGACAGTTCTATGCCAAGGGTGACACAGTCCTGTGTCCTTCTAGTTGTATTAGGGAATGAGGACTGAAGCACACAGGCAGTCGCTGGGCAGGCAGGTGGTACACCCATACACATTTCATTACTTCATATTAAAAAATTCAGTATTCTAAAGAAACATTTCTCTTTTTTAAGATTTATGTTTAAGGATACAGGAAAGTAAAAAGACCTTGAAGAGTAGTTGCCCAGATGGTTAGGAAACTTGGGTGCTTTTGTTATAGGCACTTTGTTATTTTAAGTATTTTAAAGTTTTATTTTACTTTTAATTGGTAAGTAATAACTATATAACATTTATAACATTTGTGCATTTTAAAATTTGTACTGATACATTTGAGATATACAAAATAACTTCATCATAGGGAATCTGTAATTGTACATGACATACCTTCTTTTCTCCCATTCGCCTTTCCTCACTTCAACCTTTCTTCCTCTCTTTATTTACAAAATCTTTGCAATGTGATGTTCTGATACAATGCTGAATAATCTAATCCGACTAACATATCTAAAATTTTGAATACTTAATTATTTCTTTGTGGTAAGAATACTTAAAATCTTTTAGCTATTTTGAAATATGTAATATGCTATTATTAACTACAGTTCCTTTGCTCTGCAACAGATCACAATTACACATATTCATTCACTGATCAAAAAGTTACAGCCATCTACATTTATATGCTTTATATAGGTAATTTCAATTAATGCTTAATCAAATTAAACAGATTAACATGCCCATATCATGGCTAGAAACAGTAAGGTTTAGAAATTTCTAAGATCATAATAAATGTACAAAACCTTCTTTATAACATGTAAGACCTTACCTCATTCTACATAGTATATTATCGCTGAATTTTACATATTTACATATTTTATAATCTAGGCATAGTTTTGATATTCAGTTGTGCTTATTTTATACATGCATATTTAGTATAAAAATATTTGTGAACAAGAACAGAATTAAACCTGTATACTGGTTGTTTGATATACTTATAAGATTTCATCTAGAAAAAAGAAAAAAAAGATGTTGCTATAAACACATGCAATAAGAACACATAAAATAAACAGTACAGAACCTAACATAGTGAACATATAATAATTAGCTAATTAATGAATTAAACTGAAGAAAGAAAATTCAACTTGAGACAGTATATGAAAAAGCACAAATCTAAAACAGAAAAAAGAAATACATTCACTTCTCAGAAAAAATTCATGACCCACAAACTTAAATCCTGTTGATTAAATTATACTTATTATTAATTGCCATCTAAATCTCAGAAACTACCTATATAGTTTTCTATATTAAATTTGTAAGTTTCCCAGAAGTTTGGGATAAAGTCTATATTACTGGATTATTTTGAGTATACAATAAACTGTCAGTTTCTTTTGTTTTTTGAGACAGGGTCTCACTAGGTAGCTTAAACTTAGTATGTGCAGTACAGGGTGGCCTGGAACTTGTAATCTTCCTGCCCTAGCCTCCCTAAACACTGGGATTACAGACATGCACCATCTTACCTGGCTCACCCAAAGGTTCTTGACTAGCAACAATGCTTTATTTTCTGTAAGGAACCTCAAATGAAAAATTGTTCTAAAATAAACATTTTCATTTTTATATTTAAGAATGCCTCCAATGTAAAAAAATGACACCAGTGCAAATTAAGAATTTTCTTTTTTTCTATGTTTTGCTGTTTTGGGGAAAACATTAATTTTCTTTCCTGGGGATTTAAAGCACAAATTAAGTTGACAAAAACTGGTATATCTGAACATTTTTCTAACTTTATAACTTACAATAGCTTCTTCTGGAACTAGTTCCCCCCCTGAAACTGGTTAGCTTACTGCAGTCATACCTGACCAGTTAGTATATCTATCACCCCATCTGCCATAGAGCCAGGAAAGGAAATAAACTCAGAGTTTTTGGAAAAATTTTCCACAATGAAAATTTTTACGATTTTATGTCACTTTGATAATTTTAGAGTTTATACTATGACACTCAAAATGACCAATTATTAAATCCTTTTCTTTAAAAGAAATACTGGAAACAAACCCTTTTTAAAAAGTGCATATTTATAATATGGAATACTGATGTTCATTTTGAGGAACTGCTATACATATAAATGTATCTTGATCATTATCAACCCCTTTAATCCCATTTCTCTTTCCTCCTCCTTCTGATCCCCTTCTCATCTCTGGGAGTCTGCCTTCTACTTTTCTATCATATCTCCTTTATAAAACCACCTAAAATGGATATTCCTTCCTTAAAAGGTATTTCTAATCAATTTTTTAAAATATCAAATAAGGTAGAAATTTTATACATGAAACCGTCTTTATGTTAATATACACTTCTTCATGTGTTAAAGTTATATATACAAATTATATATAAGGTTACTGAAAAGAAAGAGAAGATTAAAATATCCTCAATTATAGAGAAGAATCAAATGCCAGGTGCAGTACGATTATATGTCTATAATACCAGCTATTCAGGAGGCTGAGGAGAGAAAATCACAAGAACAAGACCAACCTGGGTGACTTAGCAAGGCCCGGTCTCAAAATAAAAAAAGGGCTGAGTATTATTTCAATTGCAGAATGCTTGTCTAGCATATGCAAGAAGGCCCTAGGTTCAATCCCTAGTACCATTAAAAAACAAAATATTCATAATTATAACTATGCAAAACAAATATGAAAACTTTTCATTTTTCCTATTTGATTTCTGTTCTAATACATAAAATGTGCAAGAGTCATTAATAAAGACACTGGCTAGGAGACTTCAACAGTTGGGTACTTTGCACTGTGCAATAAAAATATTGAAGCGTGGCTGCAGGATCTGATGCTATCCACCCTCAAGTGAGGTAAATTCCCTAAGGATTTGTCCTTTGCAAGTGTATCTAAAGAGCAACATTAATTTGTATGGAGAAATATTTTGTAAACACTTACTGAAAAAAATATTTAGGAATGCTAATACTTATGTGTACATTAAAAGGGCATTTGTTTTACTTTTTTAGATTTAAGATAACATAGAAAAAGCTGACTCTTTGTTAAATGGAAGTTTCCTTCTGAAGAATCCATAATAAAAGTATTCATTCTACCAGTAAGGAGTCTTGAGGTTAATAAAAATATTAAAATGAGCATTGTTAAGACTTCTGAAAATGAATTTCTATAGGTTGTATATAAAATAGAAAAGGCCATATCCTTAAATTTATCACATAAAATGTACTTACAATCTCATCTCCTGGCAACCAATATCCTTCTTGTTCAATACCAGCTTTCGAGCCTTTACAGCCCACTGTTAGAGTTTCAACAATAAGACCATCTTTCACAGCCAAGCTCAGCTGACGGGTGGTCTCTTTTGGATGCATACCGTGGACTCGAGACATATACCTGAACACAGAGGAAAACCAGAATTTAAAGAGTTTAAGTGCTAAAAATTAAAAATGAATAAAACTAAGAAAGTTGAAGTGATTTATTTCTTTTATTATGACTCCATATGAACCCCAAAGAAAAAGATTTCTGAACTGTCAATTATATCATAGTATTTTAAAACAAAATTTTGTTTCACATTTATTTAAAATAATCTCAAAACAGCAAACATAAATCATTGAACAGATTTCAGTAAAACATTCCATTTACTTTTAGCCCGCAGAGCAGTGATGGTGAACCTTTCAGAGACAAGTGCCCAAACTGCAACCCAAAACCTACTTATTTATTGCAAAGTGCAATTAAACTGAATATTGAGGTTTTAGTTTAGAAAAAAACAACTCACACATTAACACTTTTGTCATAAGAGAAAAACAACACGTATGCCATAGTTTCTCCACCACTGCTCTAGAGTAATTAGTACTAACCTGTGCTATGAGGACTCTAACCACAGAGGAATTGACAATATAAGCAGATCTTTTTTTTTTTTTTTTTTCTTTAAAGGGAGCTGTCATTTAAACTGAAGTTATCTTTCACATACTACTACCTTAGTATTTTATAGAATTTTATAGCTCTCAACCACAGAATTTAGAATTACAAAATTATCTTCAGTACTTTGACTCAAAACTCGGGAAATGACACTGGAGAAAATACAAAACTGCATGAGTATTTGTCAATATGTAAGAAGAACATGGATGTATATTGTGCTCAATAAGGCAAAAATGTGATTTTCAACAAAATATACTTTGGGATGACTCCCTGAAGCATACAAGTGTTCTCTGATTTACAGATTCATGGAATTTTATAACTTCTTTGTTCTTTAAAGAAATAAAATGCTCTACACATACTTGGGTTTTTGCCATTTTCTGTCCCTCTCTAAAAAATCTTAACAAAATTTTCCCAGTAGCCTACTGGACATCAAAGGTCTCTTTGCACATCCAGTAATTTTTATCTGGATAAAAAGGCTACATGAAGACACAAACCAGAATGGCTTAAGACTTCTTCAGGGAACAGTCCATGCTATATAAAATGGGACCAAAATTTCTTGTGTCCTCGGGGAAAATAAAACAAAACTTAACAATTTTTGCCTTACTTAGCCTGTCATTCAAATATCAAAGCAATAATGCTTCCCTTAGCACCAAAAACCTTATAAATTCAGAAGACAAAGTTTAACAAAAAACCCCAGAAAACTCCACCAAAGGGTTTAATAATAAGTATTTGTATTTTCAGTATGTAGAAGATAAGTCTTCTGTTAGAAACAGCTCACTTTAAAGGAAAAAAAAAATCTGCTTTTACTCTCAATTCCTCTAACTAATGGATCAAGGCTGAAAGAAACACAGGGATTTATGAGTGACAACAGGATAAAGTGTTGACCCTGACAATGAAAGCATGCTATAATTAACAAAAAGGACGACATGGGAGAGGAAAAACAGGAATCAGTATAAGCATACAATGTAATTTTATCCTTTTCTGACTAATCGTCAAGAGACCTGAAACACTAAAATCAGAATATATATATTAAATATGACAAGAAGATCCAAACCAAACGTGCTTGTCTTTTTATTAAAAAAAACGAAATGTCTAAACTCAGTATTTTTTAAATGAGTAACTCAAACTGAAAATGAAAGGATAAAAGCATGTAATAAAAGTGCAACCCAAAGAAGCAGAAATTTACATAACAATGCACAGGATTCCGAATTTAGGACAAAAATCATCTTTAAGAAAGACAGAGCATAGATGGTTCTAATGCAAAAACTGTAAGAAAAAAAAAGATACTGACAGATATAAAAAATTTTGAGGTTTTAAAATTCTGAATACACACATAAATCTACGGATAAAAATTAAATATGTATGTAGACGACCTAAGAAAAACTTTGTTGATTTACTCTAAAACTTAAAAAAAACTTTCTTCAGTAGTTTCAAGAAAGTTATAAAAACTGACCATCAAATCACCACAAAAGATGACCTTAATACATTCTAATAGTAGTATCCTTTGCGAGTTATACTGAAATTAAGACATTAATGACAAAATTAGAAAATTTTCATAAATGAGTCAAAAAATATTGCCTAAAATTTGGAAAAGATTATAAGCAATACTAAAAAGTTAAAGCAGTGCTAATTAAAGAAATAAAATTACAGAGCTAAGAAATATTAATCCAGGAACTCCTCCTTAGAGAAAAATATAAAAGTATTATAACAATGTAATCAACAGTGAAAACCCGCAGTACAAACATACAAACTAAGAAATGCCTATAGGCGCATATCTATAGGTAAAAAGAAAAACTAAAATAGCCCCCAGAAACTACAATGTTCAGTTCCAGGTAAAGATGTAAGATGAACATTATGGTTTTCTAAGAAAAGGTAAGTGACCAAAATTTAACTTATAAAACAAAGAAACAAACAAACAACCCAGAGAATTTAAAAAGGCTAATTTCCAAAGAGGTAAAAAGGAGGTTGGCAAAGGGCTTCACTAGAAACGTATCAGCTACACTCACATTCATAAAGTAATTCGAATGAACTTTTTAGAGGCCAGATTTAACCTCTTCCACTGCACAATAATGAAGAAAAGCAAGGACTCTGGCATATAATAGGAACAAAACTATAAAACAGCATAGGGAAACATCAAGGCAAATCAAAACAAACCTATTGTCTTACAGGAATACTGATATAAAATTCTCAAAACATTCAAATCAATACCCTAACATTAACATATTAATAAAGATCAATACATATACACATTCAAATATTAAAGGAATACATTATGACCAAATGCTTAATTCCAGAAATTCAAGGGAGATTTAATATTAAGAAGTCTAAATATAATTCACCTCATTAGTAGATCAAAAGTGAAAAATATTGGTATATGTTGAAAATATATTTCATAAAATTCAACACCTAGCCCCTACCAAAACAAGAATGAATGAAATTCCTGAATGTAAACAAGTATGTTAAAAGATGTTGACTGCCATCACTTTTCTTGAATACTTTTGTAAGTGTAATAACATAGTCAAAATAGGTATCAGTGCTGATAAAAAGTTAAAACAACTATTTGCAAATCATACATTTAGAAAACCTAAATAATGGTGACATGCTATTTTTAAATAACAATAAATTAATTTGGGACACAAACAAATATTTAAAGAATTTATATATCTAAATTCGTTAGGAGATGTTCATTTGTTTTGGCATAGGGGGACTGAATCTATGGCCTTGTGCATGCTAAGTACATACTTTGTAACTGAGCTCTATCCTCAATCTCCAAGTTATGATTTAAAAACAGACCTCAATTATTTACAACAGCAATAAAAAAAGTCTTACTAAAATTAGAAACAACCAAGTCTGTATGGAAAAAAATCTGCTCCTTATGCAAAAAGGAAAAATTTTAATTACAATAAAGTAACAATTCAAATTATCGGTAGAAAGATTAATGCATGGCCTTGAAATAACTGGCTATATAACTTGGAAAAAGAGGCAGGGCCCAATCTTAGTCTGCACCCAGAAATTAATTCTAGATAAATCAAATATAAATATTACAACCAAAACCACAAAATAATTAGAAGGAAAACAATGGAGATTATTTCTCACAGTGGTGTGAGAAAAACTACCAAGTATGAAACAGAAGTCAGAAGTCATAATAAAAAATTGACAAATTTAAATAAAATTCAGCAATTTCAATATAGGTTAAGAAACCTACAAGAAACAAAGTTAAAATATTTATGGCAAAAAGAAAAAATAATACACCATCATGAAAGACCCAAATTATTTCCTACACATTCCCAATACATAAAGAATTCTTACTTACAGAAGTTGAATATCCTTAATCCAAAATGCCTAGGACCAGAAGTGTTACAATTTTTTTTCAGATTTTGAAAATATACATAAGATACCTTAGAGCTATAATTCAAGTCTAAACAAGAAGTTCTTGTATGTTTCACTGAAGGTAAAATAACACCTGTATTTTGACAGAGATCTATTATAAGAGCTCAAGTGTAGAATTTTCTACTTGTGGTATAATGGCAGTCAAAATTCCTTAGATTTACATTCAAAAAGAGACTTTTATTTTATAATATTTTCTGTTGGTGTTGGGTATGTAGTTAGAAAAACTGCACTCTCTTATTAGCTATACGTTTACAGGTAAAGTTTACTGAATTTCATTTATCTTACTAGCCTGCTTAGGACCACGAGTACAATGTATGCCATAAACAGTGTCTTGCTTCAGATTTTACAGGGGATTCTTAAAAATATCTCACAAATATTGATACCAGAAAATGGTTTTTGTGGATATACTTTGTAAATATAAACTAATGAACATAGGAATAAATATAATGGTTATGGTAGGATTTTGGTAGGTATCTTTTATTAAAAAGACATTTCTTTTCCAGTCTTACTTTGTTAACAAGAATATCAGTGAGATTGTTTCCTTGAAAATTTTTATTCATGAACTTTCATCACACATAAATTCTGGAAATTATGTATTCTAACAGCTTTAGGGCAAGAATAAACTCAATAATATACTTTTTCCTCAGTAATGACACATTGAGCTCATCATTTTTAAGTAGTTCAAGAATTGAAGTGGATTAACATAGTATATTCTGGTCATTTGGTTCCCTTTTCGGTCTCTTGAGGGATTATAAAATTTGATACACACAATGGCAAGCAGGCTAGACTTAGGCTTTTCATACCTATAAGGATCAGTAGGGTACACAGCTGGAAGAGTTAGTCCTACCAGTAATCTAAGAATGACGATGATAATGAAAAAAAGAGTATGTCTTCCTATGACTGATCTACCTGAGGATGCAATAGCTCTAAGTTAGTTTTCTGAGTGACACTGCATTGGACAAATTAGGATAAACAATAAGTGATCTATTATATATTCAAAGTGCCATTCAGCAGCTAAGGAATATATATGTTCATTATTTGTAACAGAGGTAAACGTTAAAAATCACAAGCTTACAATCTATAAA